TGGGCAGGCAGCTTTTAGAGCCCCCAAAATGGGACTGCCATAGTCAAAAGTCTCTGCCTGTGGGATATCTCAGCCCCTGGGACTTAAGATCCCTGAACTTGCCACCCATTTTCCATGCAGAGCCGAGGCTGAATCTGGGCATTGCTTCAGTTTGGGTTGAAGGTGGGCTGGAGCACTTTGGTTTAGGTTTTTACCTCTCTTGACTGTTTGCGTCCCTGTGGAGGCTTTGCCCACTGCTCTGGGGGGAGCAAGCAGTGGAGAAAGGCTGACTTAATCTGTAATAACCTATAACCCACCTGCTTTAACCTATAACAACACAGCCTAACACACTGAGGAGGAGCCCTGTAGCACCTTCCATGCCGTGGGGTTATCCCAGAGGCAGGGAACGCTCAGGTATGCCCATGCAGTGCTGTAAGAAGGGATTTGTGTCCCATCCCTGTCTTCCTGCTGCAAGGATTAAATGAAAACTCGAAATGGGTTTTGGCTCCTGGGCACGTTAAAACCAAGTGCTATGAAAAGGTAGGAGCAGCCCAGGTTTATTCTGAGGACCTGCTACCTCCACAGGAGCACCCTCATCACAGGTAAATGTTTAGTTAAGGCTGACATGCTGAAGAGGTTTGTTTTCAATCCGGTCATAAACCTTTGGTTGCGTTATAGTATGCCTGAGATACCATGGGCTAAAGAAACAGCCTCTCCTATTAAGGAGCAATTAAGATTCCTTTGAACTAACTCACAGGGCTCTTAAAATAGGGTAAATACGGGTACCAGCAGCACAGGCTGGTGCTCTGTGTGCTCTACGTGGCCATGTCTGGTGTCAAATGGGATTGTTTTTTGCAGTGCCACATCCTGGTGACCTCCTGCGTCTCCCCAGTCCTGTGCTTGCAGGTTGTGCTCCTGCAATTGCTCCCTGGCACCATCCCTGGTCTCACCACATCATCCTTTGGAGGGGGATCAGGTCCAGACCCCACTGACTTTTAGGCTTGCAAGGGTGGTTGTTTGCAATCCCATGTGGTTTATCTCCCTATATTTGCTTCCTATCTTGGACACAAGACAATGCCCAAGCACCTGGAGCTTGCAGCAGCCAGCACGAGGAAGCTTTGGGATGCCAGGCTGGAGGTTTGGGTGCTTTGATGCTCTGCCAAGCCCAATCAGCACCTTGAGCTGGCTGGATCCTTTCCCTGGAGCATCCCCCCTGGGTGCCTCCCAGGTTGTGTTCAGGCTCCAGCATGTGATGGCTTTGCCAGGGCAGGATGCAGCCGAGGCAGCGTGGGGGGTATGGCAGCATCTGCAAAGCTCCTCTGGCTATCCCAGCCCTACCACAGGGAGAGCACCCATAGGATGGGGGCTTGGAAGATCCCGGGGCTGCAAACTGTTTCCGCACTGGTTGCCTTCAAAGTGGAGCTTAGGATCTGTCCTGCTGTTCCCTGCAAGGCTCCAGGAGAGGTGGGCTGGGTGCAGTCATAGGATCAGAGCCTAGTTTGTGATGCAAGGGACCTTAAAGCTTATCCAGCCCCAACCCCCTGCCATAGGCAGGGACACCTTCCACTAGAGCAGGTTGCTCCAAGCCCCTGTGTCCAACCTGGCCTTGAACACTGCCAGGGATGGGGCAGCCACAGCTTCTCTGGGCACCCTGTGCCAGCGCCTCAGCACCCTCACAGGGAAGAGCTTCTGCCTCAGAGCTCATCTCAATCTCCCTTCTGGCAGGTTAAAGCCATTTCCCTTGTCCTGTCCATTCATCCCTTGTCCAAAGCCCCTCTCCAGGTGTCTTGTAGCCCCTTTAGGCACTGGAGCTCCTCTTAAGGAGCCACCTTCTCTTCTCAGCCAGTCTCCAGAGCAGAGCTGCTCTGAGAGGCTCCATAGGAGAGCTCAAAGGGGTCTCTGCTCTCCCAGCCATCTGCTCATCTCCCTTTGGTTCCTGCTGTTGTGAGCGAATCCTTAGGGACTGCTGGCACATCCCTTCCTTGGGGGTGATCCCCTCCAAATCCAGCTCTCCTCCAGTTAAAAATAAATGAATGGGGTTTTTTTTTTTTGAGGATGAACTTTTGGAGATGCTCATTCCCTGATGAGCATCCTTCTCACCCAGGAAGCTGGACCACAGACATGGGATGATGGGAGCACGGGAGAGGTGTCCTTGCCATGTCACGCTTCATCTCCTCCATCCTTGGGTTACCATGGAAACATAAAGTACCAAGAGCTTTTGCTGCTGGTCCATGGATGCTTGGCTGAGATCACCATCCCCCTGTGCCAGGGTAAGGTGGGGGTATTTATATTCACCCACCACCTTTGTGCTCACTCCATGGCTTTAAAGGCATTATTTTAACTTCTTTTCCCCCAAACGTGGGTTGGGAGCAGCTGAGCTGGTGCCTGCTGCCACTTTGTGGGTTGATATGACCAAAATCCATGAATCTGGAGCTGTTGAAGGGGGATGGATGGATGGAGATACAGGGATGAGCTCCTCTGAGGTCGCATACGCAGCAGGAGCTCCCCATGGGGCTTTACCAGGATGGGAAGCAAAACCCTGCTGTGGGTCTGAGGGAGGTGGCGAAACTCATGAGGTGCTTCACGATCAGATGCCTCCACAGCATCCTGGGAATGGGGCTTTCCTGAAACACAGAGCTGGGGAAGGGGGAGCCGCGCTAAGAACGCGAGGTGCAACAGGGATTCCGTGCCCTTTGTGCAGTACTAACATTCCACCCCGAGGTTCTGTGGTGGTTCGTTGCTCAGACATCAAAGAGAGGGGCTTTTTCAGTTGCTGCTTCCAAGCGTGGGGAGCAGAATCCACTTGGAATTTTCCTCCCAGCCCCAGAGTTTGGCAGGGGAGGCGATGCCCTGGACCAAACCCATGGGGAGCTGTGGTCGAGGCATGTTCGCGTGTTCCATGAGAGGGGTAAGTGCTGAATCTTGCCCCTCCGGATGGGACATGGGGTGCTGCAGGGTCTGAGGATGCTGTGGGGTACCAAGGGTGCTGTAGTGAGACAAGGATGCTGTGGGGGACCATGGATGCTGTGGTCCCCCAGCAGATGACAGGAATGCTGCAGGATGCTGTGGGGGTACCAGGGCTGCTGCAGTGATACAGGATGTTGTGGGGGGACCAGAGGTGCTGCAGTGAGACAGGGATGCAGTGGTGGGACCAGGGGTGCTGTAAAGAGATAGAGATGTTGTGGGGGGACCAGGGGTGCTGTAGTGGGACAGAGATGCTCCAGGATGTTGTGGGGGGACCAGGGGTGCCATAGTGGGACAGGGATGCTGTGGAGTCTGAGGATGTTGTGAGGGACCAGGGATGCTGTGGAGTCTGAGGATGCTGCAGGGACCAGCAGGACCTTTTAGCATTGCTCCCCTACTATCTCTTCACGGATGGAGGGAGCTGTCTCGAGGTGTTGAGACCTTCCTGCTTCTAAGCAGCTGCTCTGGTTTGGGCTGCAGATCTAGTAGCACAAGGTTGGGGGGTGCTTGACTTCATTCCAAATGCACCTCCGCCTTGGCCTGGGCTCGGGGGCAGCCCGGGTGTGCTCTGTTTTGCTCTGCATTCCCCAAACACTTCCTTAATCAGTATTTGTTTTCCTTGCAAGTTATTAACTGTTTGCTTTAGATACGTTTTGCATCAGGTCCAGCTTGTGCACACAAGCCTTTGAAGGGATTATAAAGCCTTAACAGAATACATCAGGTGGTGTATAAAGGCAAACACGGGGGTGAGAGTGGATTTTCCCAGTGTCTTAAGCCGGTGGGAAGCTTGGCTGGATGATTTGGCGCAGGAAGAGAGTGCTGAGGGGTGAATCTGGTGCTAAATTTGGGTCCAAATGCTTGGCTTGGTGAATGGGGAGGCCCAGGCTGCCCAGGGAGCATCACCAGCCTCAAGCTGTGGTTGCTGATCTCTCCCTGGGGACTTCTGTGGCCAATTTTGCTAGGAAATAACACTGGGAAAACACAAGGTGCTTTTTAGTTTCCTCTGATTTTATTCTTCTCAAGCAGATGTAACATATACAAAGTTGAGACCCCCCCCCAGCTCCTCATCCTGCTTGCTCTGAACTGTGGGTTTAATCTTCCCTTTCCTTCCCAAGCTGGAGGGAGGACTCAGAGCCAGAAATACCAATGCAGGATGAGACGTGGGGATGGCAGTAGGATTTTGCCTCCCTTTCCTGGGGTCTCCAGGTGATGAACGGACTGAGCTGGGCACGTTTAAGCAGGAAGGGGTTTGATACCTGTGTTTTATGGAGGAGAAGGGGTTGCAAGGATGCAACCTCACCTGTTTCCCTCCCCTGCTGCCATACGGGCACAGCTTTCTTTGCTCTCTATCCCATCCTGTTGCTTGTAGCACGGTTTAATTGTCCTTAATTCCCTTTTAATTGCACTCCTTGCCCTTTTTAACTATTTGCCCTTCCTGTCCTTTTCATTTCGTGAGCCTGGGATGAGGAAGAGAAGAGCCTGGCTCTGGTGGGATCATCTCTGGTCCCATTTCTCCTTGTTCTTGATACACTTTGCCCAGCAAACCACTCCTTGACTGATTCTTGGCTGGGTGAGGATATAGCCCGTTGCTGAGTGGCATGTGCTGGGATGGGTCATGCCCCCCCCCGCTTTAACAAGGTGACTAATCCCCTGGAGACCAGGATTTCCATCGCTGGCCTGGGCATGCTCCTTTCCTCTTGGCTGGGCATTTAACACCTCCTCGCCCTCTCCTCCTCTGAGACGTGGCTGGTTGTGAGCAGGGAGAAGCTCAGTTATGGGCTGGCAAAGCCAAGCCCAGTTCTGAGCTGGGATTCATCCTTGGGGAGCGGGTTATCAGGGAGCAAAGCCTCCCATGTACCCCAAACCATCTCCCAGCCGGTAAGTCTGTTCTTCATCCTTGCTGGGTTGCGGTGGGTCCAGGGTGGCTCCGAGCTGGGCTCTTTGCTCCCTTATTCCAGGAGTGAGAGGTTTTGGAGGAAGAAAAAGGTCGCCCCACTTCCCTGGCTGGCGTTTGAGTGTACATTAAGGTTGCACCATCCCCCTTTGCGCAGGCCAGGATGGTTGAATCGAAGGCATTGGAGGTTCCCCAAGTACGTGATGCTCTTTGCTTTGACCCCACTCCTGTCCTTTCTGCCTGGCTCAGTAGTGGCTCGTTTGGCTTCTGTGGTGGCTGGTGTTGGTTGGATGCTTGAGCCAGGGCTGATCTTCAACCTTGCTCCCAGGTCATTGATTTGGGTGCTTTGGGCTGTTGCGGTTGTTTTGTTCCTCTTGTTTAGGTGTTTAACCTATATGGCTGAGGCTCCCTGGGAACCGTGGCCTTTGCCTGGCTTGTGTAAACTGTATAAATCAAACCTGCTCTATGGTGCAGAGAAATGTGGATTTTAAATAGAAATACATTGGGAAACCCTAATACCCGCTTGTCTGATTGCAGATGCGGCAAGCAGGGAGGGTGTTGCCTCTTGGGCAGGGTTTTTAGGGATGGGTTTGGACCTCATCCAATGCCTTTCCCTCTTTCCCGCCACAGGTGACCAGCGGCAGCCACAATGAGAGCTCCAGCCCTCTCCTGATGCCTCTCCTGCTGATAAAAATGATCAACAAGTCTCGTGAGTCCCATGGGGAAGGTCCCGTCTCCCTCTTTCCATGTGGGAATGGGGGGTTCCCTGGGGCATTTGCATGTGGAAGTGTGGCTTTGGAGGGGGTCTGATGCTGCTTTGCTGGGTGACAGACTATTGGGGCATCATGATGGGATTTTTGGGGTCTGGGTTTGGCACACAGGAGCTCTCAGGCTTTGTGATTAAAAAAAATGGGGTGGAGGCACCTGGAGAAAGGTATGTTCTTGTGTGGCCTTTGACGCACATTGGGCAGGAGGAAATAGCACAGCAGCCTTTGGATCTGGGACAAAACCACTCTGGCTCTGTTTCAGAGGGGGTGACTGTGCCAGCCAGGGCCTGCTGTTCCCTGGGGATGGCTCTGCGATCCTGGATCTACCAGGACATCCCCACATCCCGCCATCCAAACCCCAGGGTACCAGCTTGACAATGTTTTTCTCTCTCCCCCCATCTCTTGGCATGCAGGAGGGAAGATACTTGGGGTGCTGGCGTTGTTTCTGGTGATGGTTTGGTACTCAATCTACCGGGAAGACAGGTACATACAGCTGTGAGTGGCTTTTATTCCAATTTAAAGGACCTCCTGCCCTTTCCTTTGCTCTCAGGAGGTGGCGTCCTCCTGCTCAGCCCATGCAGGGATGCTGGAGCATCGTCTTCCTGGATCCTAAGGGACTGGGGGTGTGGCTGATGCTGGAGGAGCGGGGACATGATATGAGGTTCCCCATTGGAGTGTGTTAGGATTGGGCTCTGTGGGGTTTTTTGGCAAGTGACAGTGTTTTCCCGAGCCCAGGAAGAAAGGAAAACCCTTCTCTGTTCCCAGCTCCGTGATGGAGACAGGGAAAGCAGCGTGAGGTCTGTGAGTAGAGCAAGAGAGACCTCTTCTGATGCAAGGCTGCAAGCCCAGCATACGAACACCCAAAGCAGAGCTTAAATTTGGGGAGCAATATCCGCCATTCAATCCCATTGAATTCAAGCCCCCATTGCCAGGACAGGGATGCAGCAGAGCAGGCAGCATTTATGTCTTGTTTTAACCTCTTCCTTGACAGCTTTTATTTCCCTGTGCAAGAAAACAAGACGATGTGTCCCCTCGGGGAGGTGGAGAGGAAAGCGGCGCAGCTCATCGGGAAGTGAGTGTTGGGTTAGAGGGGAAAGCAGAGCCCTTCCTCCCCATCCCGCTCTCACCGTCCCTTTGCTCCTTGGCAGCTACACCAGAGACCACCCGCTCTTCTTGCAGCTGAAGGACTACTTTTGGGTGAAGACTCCATCGCTGTATGAGCTGCCCTATGGCACTAAAGGAAGTGGTGAGCCTCAGCATTGGGTTTCTGTTTGTCCTGCTGCTGCTCCCTGGGGGTTTCATTGCCTCTTCTCAAAACCAGCTGCAGATTGATATTTGGGGGAGTATCGTCTTCCCCTCCATCCCCCCAGCAAGTAGTTCGCTTTATTTCTGGTTGCTACAGCACTTGTCTACTCGCTCTGGTCCCTATCCTATGGTTTAGGGTGGGACAGGCTTTACTAAGCAAAGGTTTATGTGTCCGGAGCTGGGATAGTAGCAGGAGGTATGTGGCAGGGATGGGGCAGCCCTCATTGTAGCAGGCAGGAGCTGCCTTTGTCACCTTCTCCTCACTCTTGCCTTGCAGAAGATGTCCTCCTGCGCTTGCTGTCGATCACCCACTACTCCCTGCCCGAGAGCATCCAGAGGTAACACTGGGGTGGGTTCAGGGCTTTTCTGTCTCCTCATCGTTCTCTTGTGGGGTGGGAATTTGCCCATTGTGGGCTCAGGATCTGGCAAAATGAACCTTAGCAACCCAGGGCTGGTGGATAGTGCATGGGAAGCTTTATGGGCTGGAAAACACGGGGTTAAACCCCTCTCCCTTGGGGGTTAAACCCACCTTGGTTTTAGAGCAGGTCTGGTTGAGAAGGGGCTTTTCTCCTGCAGACTGAAGTGCCGGAGGTGCGCGGTGGTGGGCAACGGCCACCGGCTCCGCAACAGCTCCATGGGGGAGACCATCAACACGTATGATGTTGTGATCAGGTATGGCCCTGCGTCTGTCCCACCGATCCCTCCCCAGTGCCACCTGCAGATGGGGTTGACACCTGTGATGTCCCCATATCCCCCCTCAAGGCTGAACAATGCCCCGGTCCATGGTTACGAGCAGGACGTGGGCTCCAAGACCACCATGCGCCTCTTCTACCCGGAGTCGGCCCACTTCAACCCCAGGACAGAAAACAACCCTGACACGTTGCTGGTGCTGGTGCCCTTCAAGCCCATGGACTTCCAGTGGATGGAGGCCATCCTTAATGACAAGAAGAGGGTGAGTGTGGTGGGGAACTGGGTCCAACCTTCACCTGAGCCAACCCTCAGGGACCTACCTCTTTTACTGGGACACATCTCTATCCTCTTGCAGGTGCGGAAAGGGTTTTGGAAACAGCCCCCGTTGATCTGGGATGCCAACCCGGAGCAAGTCCGCATCCTCAACCCTTATTACATGGAAGTAACTGCTGCTAAACTACTCAACCTCCCCATGAAGCAGCCACGGAAGGTCAAGCAGGTAAGGGGGTGAGAATAGCTGGTCCCCATACACCCCCCCTTTGAGGGGTGATGTCCTCCCTGCTGCTCCCCCGGTGCAACTTGGTGAAGGCCATGGCTCTTTGTAAGCCTTTTCCTCCACCCTCTCCCTCCAGAAGCCCACCACAGGGTTGCTGGCCATCACCTTGGCACTGCACTTCTGTGACCTGGTGCACATCGCGGGCTTTGGCTACCCCGATTCGGCCAACAAGAAGCAGACCATTCACTACTATGAACAGATCACACTCAAGTCCATGGCGGTGTGTGTCAGCCCCCCACTTTGTCCATGTTAACCCCTAGTTTCCCCCTCAGGATGGGGATTGTGGCCTAGGAATGACACTGAGCAGTGCGGGAACCTCTCCCCTTGGGGACCCCTTTCTCCCCTTCCACGATGGGTGTTGATGGGCTATGGGGAGAAGTTAGATGATGACCTTTGAAGTCATGGTGGAGAGTTGGGTTTGGTTTATGTGAGGGGGCTGTGAGGGTCATATCCTTCCTTTTGGGGGGCTCCTCACTTTAGGTGAAGGCATCAGGTCCCCTCAGTGCTGGTGGGGTGGGCAAGGTGGAGGGCTGGGAAGGGGCAGAAGGGATACGGGTCTCACCCATGTCATGTCCTGCAGGCATCAGAGCACAACGTCTCACATGAGGCAGTGGCCATCAAGCGGATGCTGGAGCTGGGTCTCATCAAGAACCTCACCTACTTCTGAGGGCACTGGGGGCTGTGCAGGGACCACATCCCCCATTTGAAGG